AAATAAAAAAAAAAAAAAAAATCAAGAAAAGGTTAGGTATGTCATGAACTCACAGAATATATGTAGATACTAGTTTAAGTATGGGTTTGATCAATTATTTATGTTACCAATAAGGTTACCAGTCAACAGTAGAGTATTAGTAGTTAAGTTTTGGGGGAATCAAAAGTTGTACGTGGGCTGGGCAGGGTTGCTCACGCCTATAATCCCAGCACTGTGGGAGGCTGAGGCAGGAGGATCCCTTGAGGCCAGGAGTTTGAGACCAGCCTGGACAACATGGTGAGACCTTGTCTCTTAAAAAAAAAAAGTTATAGTTGGATTTTTAACTCCAGGAGAAGCCGGCACCCATAACCACTATATTGTTCATGGGTCAACTTGTGGTTAATCACTGATCCAACATTAATTCAACAAGAATTTATTGTGCAAGAATCAATGTTTCAAAAATAAGACAGGTTGGGCATGCTTACATGTCACTGTAGATACTACTGTCTATTCTGTTAGGCAGTGGAAATATGAAAGCTTACTTGGGTATCTAAGATTGTCCATCCAGATAAACAGAATAAAGTAAAGAACCACACGATAAACTTACATATTTTAAATAGACTATTAGCTAAATTTTCAAACAATAGGCGCAAAGTATTTTCCTTCAACTATCTTTTCAGGTGAAGTATTCTTAAGTTTAAAGAAGTCCAATTGTTAACATAAATAAAGTATAATAAATAAACTACTTTCCTTGTGTTTCCAGATATTTTGGACACACTCTAGTGTAATTATTAAAGTTTTTCAAATAAACGATTGAACTCATCGCTTACATTATGAGGTATTTCTTCTGAAAAAGCATCCAGAGGTTGAAGAAAAACATACTGAGTCTACTATTTGAAAGTGTAATGAACATATTTAACTTTTTAAAAAATAAGTTTATCTTATGGTTCCTGATTTTTAAAATAACTTACGTAATAAAATGGTTCCAGGCTTCATTATCTCTCTGGTTCATTTCTCAACACAATAAATGCTGAATACTTGAAGTATGGAACTCTAAGTTAGACTAACACCTGCCTCACACTAGATAAGATAAACTTTTAAGTTTTCTGCATTATATTTATAAACGAATATATCCTTATCTCTTAAAAATATTATAAGATTAATTCATGTTTAATTTCATGAATTCATAGATTTACTATGATCTACTTAGCAATCTTCTTCTGCAATAAGCTTTCATTTAGAAATTTTCCCTTAGAATGAAACCTGACATTTTATTAATTTTCCGAATTATATAATTCAGCTTTTATTTCTGATGGTGAAATCATTTACTTAGCATTATTAACAGAAGCATGTCTATTTTAGCGCTCAAATTATTAACTACTAATAATACAGGACAATTTAGTAATAATACTGGACAGTAATAAATTCATTTAGAGTTCATATATTAGACACACTACAAAGTTTAACATAATCTTTGAACTGGGTTATATTCTTTAAATGCTTATTTCTTGTTTTCAGCATAGGTGTTTAAATGTACTATGACGGCAACATGTTATCCTCTAAAATTAATTGCAAAATGTATTATCCACTCTACATGAAGTTTCACTGGAAATTTACCTTTTTCAGGGCATACTTTGGGTCTTCAGGAAGAACCATAATTATCCTGCCATCGGGGTATTCAGCCAGAATTCTTTCTTTCTTCCAGCCCTAGATATATATATATATATACACACACATATATATATGTATTTTAAAGAATGAATTTTATTCATCATATCCATGTACAAGAGAAAAAGTATACCAATTTGTCTAAAAATTGCAAATATCAAACATAAATGCTCATTAATGCTTAACAAAGCATAAATCAGCTATTTTGTTAAGCATACACTAGGTACAAGGCAACCTAATTTCTCTCTACTAGTCATTCAAAGATATATCTAATACCACATGAGTATTTCTAATTTATCATTTCCCATTTTAAATTAATTTTGAAAGCCACACACCAAAAGCAAGCCCCTTAAAGTCACTAATTCCCAGAAACTATAATTCTCCCAAATTCTTGATAAAAGATTTAAACTCTTATATTTCATTGGAACATGGTTACCTCCACAAACAAACACTCAAAGTTTTATGTCTGGCATGCCAAAGACCTCCAGGAGGTTTTAAATGAACTGATTTGCATGCAGTAGCCCAGTATGAAAGGAATAGTTTTATGCTTATTGATCACAACTACCAAAGCCATAAGAAGGAGACTATAAAAAAATATAACTACCTTCTAAGAATCTAATAGGGAAGGAGAGGCTACGTTGTGTGTATCTGAAGTTAAACATACTCAAAAAAAGAGAGGTAATAAACTCTTCTTCAGATCCACACTCGTGGTGATTAATGAGCAGAACCTGCATGAAAAAAACAAAACAAAACAAAAGCCACTTAAATCTATTAAGATGGGACTGAACCAGAGGTTAAAACTAGGAGCTTTGAAGATCAAAATAAGTACAGAAGGAATGAGCTTAACTAGTTGTTCCAGTTGTCTTAACCCAACCAACTTTATATAAAAAGGCCTTTCCAGAAGCAATTTTTACACTTCCAGTAGAGAAAACCACCATACTTTTTCTGATGTTTCTTCTAAGAACAGAAAAGCTCAATGAAACCAAGAAAATGGCAACTAGATTTTTAAAAAAATATACTATGGCAAGTATGAAAGCAGATTCGTTTTCTTAAACAATCAAGAATTTTTTGGAGTGGGGAGAATAGCAAGATCATAGTTGGGGACAAAAATTCTAGTTAATAAGCTTGGGATATGTAACAATTTAAATTTAAATATTTAAAATCTAAAATCTGTTTACAAAATAGAGTACCCAATAGAAAAGTTAAATTCAGATGAGTAAAATTATGATTGTTAAAATGTTCTTAATATTTGAAAAGGAGCAGAAATAATAATCACAGAAGTCCTTTTTTCATATAAGAAACTAAATCTGCAGTCCTTCAATGTAAATAAGGTTTTAAAAAAGAAACTAAATCTGAATCATACACAGATCTGAATATAGGTAAACAATTTTTAGAAGACTTACAAGGTATCAACTCTTCAAAAATAAATTTCTATTAGTAATGTTACTTTTTGAAAATGTTTTTATATTTATGAACCTATTTTTAATAAAATGAAAATAGAGATTTTCACTTTAAAATATAAAAAAAAAACCCTAGAAATTTAAGTAACTTCAAGTTATAAGAAAACCATTCTTCCTGAACTGAATCACCTAAAAGACAGTTCCATAAACTATGTTCCTATTAAATGCCTCTAAAAACAGTAATACTGGTTTCATGTCATATTGCATTATAGATATTAGACAAATTATTTTTGCTTTATTAATTTTTTAAGTACGAAACTTTCTCTTGAAACAACTTCAGATTTGCATGTTCATGCTGAAATTTTTATCATAATTGAATCTCATATGTTTTTGTGTTTTAAATAGTATTGGTTTTTCATGTAGTAAATAAAAGGCCTTTAAATCTATGCAGCAAAGACTGCGGAGGCAGATTTAGTACTGCTTAGGTTTCTAATGTTCATGAAAACACCAAATCTTATTAATTTACTTATTTGAGACAAAGTCTCACTCTGTCACCCAGGTAGAGTGCAGTGGCAAGATCACAGCTCATAGCAGCTTCGAACTCCTGGACTCAAGCAATTCTCTTGCCTCAGCCTCCTAAGTAGCTGGTACTACAAGTGTGCACCACCATACCAAGCTTTGAAAGCACATTTTAGTGAAAACTGTTAAGTAATTCTAGAATAAAAGTTCAGGGTTTAGATCCTTGTTCTTGGTAGTTATTAGATGCATGCCTTAGGCAAATCACTGGAACTCTGATTTTGTTTCCTGATCTAAGCATTCTTAAAAAAGGCTATCATCACCTCTATCACTTGGTAGGTAAGAGGGTGTTTTAAGATGAGTGCTCAACGAGTAGCCACTCAGTAACTCTTAGTAACTTCCATTCTCCCTTCTTACTAGAATCAAACTAAGATCAATGCACTAATCTAACAAAAGCCAATCAATAAATGTTCCCAAGGTTAAATACAGCAATCAATTCAAATTATAGAAAAGTAAAGATGAAAGAACCAAGTTAGTTAATATTTGTTCAAATAACATACTCAAGACATATCTAGGCCTCAACTACAGTTAACTCTTTGCTAGTCTCAATAACCACATGACCCTCCTTACTTCAGAGAAACTTTGAGGTGATAAAGTCCATCCAACGCTTAAAATTAAGGCAGAGGAGGAGCAGGGTGCAGGAAAGAGTGCGTGCAATTTAGGCAAACAACCAAATAGTCACAACGTTTTTGCAAAGATATAAATTCCAATGCAGTGCACTTACACTTCTCACCTTTAGCTCTAACATGTTTCAGCACTAATACACTACACATTACCCTCTGCTAACAAGTAGTATTTTCTAAAACCCATTTTTTCTTACTTCATCCATTTGGCTATTTCATGAAAAGCAGAAAAATTTATATTCCTAATTTGTATTTGTAATAACAAGAAATTATTATTCTTTTCTCCTTGCTATTATAGTTACTCTAAACTGTTCAGTCTAAAGAACGGAAGGGATTTTTCCTCTTTTCCAATCAAAAAAAGGATTACAACTGGAAACAAAATACACTGAGTGGTAGATATACGGATGTATACAGCAGTCAAAATTTAAACCAAACACTTAAGATCTGTAGATTTAATTGTATCAGTAATACCCCAATTTTAAAAGTTCATATTAATCACAATTTCATAAAAGGTTGAATGGTAATATACATTTGAAAAAATAAAACCAATAGCCAGCTTTTTAAAAAATAAACAAATATTACAAGAAAAAAAAGAGACCCAGGGAGAACCTCGAGATTAAAAGTTACTAAAGGGACATACCATCCAATGTAATATATAAACTCTAATTCAAACAAATAAACAACATAGGAAATCATGAACTATTTGGGATGCTTTGAACTCTGATGGAAAAGTTGATTTCAAGAATTTATTTCTTGAAGGTGTAATTATATTTCTTAAAGCTCTTTTATATTTAAAAAAGGAGTCATCTTCATCTTTAAGAAATACATATTTAGAGGCCAGTTGCAGTGGCTCATGCCTATAATCCCAGCACTTTGGGAAGCCAAGGCGGGTGGATCACCTGAGGTCAGGAGTTCAAGACCAGCCTGGCTAACATGGTGAAACTCCATCTTTACTAAAAATACAAACAAACCAACCAACAAAATTAGCCAGGCATGGTGGTATGCGCTTGTAATCCTGGCTACTCAGGGGGCTGAGGCAGGAGAATCGCTTGAACCCAGGAGGTGGAGGTTGCAGTGAGCCGAGATCACGCAATTGCACTCCAGCTTGGGCAACAAAAGCAAAACTCCATCTCAAAAAAACAAAAAAGAAACAAAGAAATACATATTTAGAAATATCGACTAAAATAACATGATACCTGAGTTTATTTCAAAATAACTGGGAAGGTTAGATGAAGATAATTATCCATGAATGGATAATTGTTGAAGGTGGGTGACAGGTGGGGTTCATTACTATGTGTGTGTTTATGTGTATGCTGTATTAAACTTATTTTGGAAAATTCAAATTGCCTACTGTCAAAACTGTACCAGTGGCCCAAGGTTTGTTAAAGTATCTTTTTTTTTTTTTTTTGATGGGGGGGTGGACGGAGTTCCACTCTGTCACCCAGGCTGGAGTGCAATGGCATGATCTTAGCTCACCACAACCTCCGCCTCCCAGGTTCAAGTGATTCTCCTGCCTCAGCCTCCTGAGTAGCTGGGATTACAGGTGTGTGCTACCCTGCCCAGCTACTTTTTATATTTTTAGTGGAGACATGGTTTCTCCATGTTGCTCTGGCTGGTCTCAAACTCGTGACCTCATGATCCACCTGCCTTGGCCTCCCAAAGTGCTAGGATTACACGCATGAGCCACCACACCCGGCTGTATCATTTATTTAGAAGTAAAAAAATAAATTCAAAACTAATCTAGTCAGCATTGCAGCTAGAACCAAGGTGCAGTAAAGTAGTAACTGTAACAGGAGTAGCCAGACCTGAAGTGTGGTAAAGTAGTGACTGTAATAGGAGCACAAAGGAGCTTTGGAGGTGCCAGTAATGTTGCTACTCCTTATATGGGTGTGTTCACTTTGTGAAAATACACATTATTAAGCTATGTACTCGCTGTACTTTCTTTTCATTTTTGTTTTTGTTGTCATTGTTGTTGAGATGGGGCCTGGCTATGTTGCCAAGGCTGGTCTCAAAGTCTTAGGCTCAAGCCATCCTCCCATCTTAGTCTCCTTAAGTATCAGGATTACAGGCACCCGCCACCATGCCTAGGCCTGTGTACTTTCTTTACATGTTATAAGTCAATAAAAATTTTACTTAAAAATAATTACTGGCCAGGCACGGTGGCTCATGCTTGTAATCCCAGCACTTTGGGAGGCCAAGGCGGGAAGATTACCTGCAGCCAAGAATTTGAGACCAGCCTGACCAACATGGCAAAATCCCATCTCTACTAAATATACAAAAATTAGCTAGGCATGGTGGCGGGTGCCTGTAATCCCAGCTACTTAGGAGGCTGAGGCAGGAGAATCCCCTGAACCCAGGGGGCAAAGGTTATAGTAAGCCGAGATCATGCCACTGCACTCTAGCCCAGGTGACAGAGCAAGATACCATCTCAAAAAAATTA